TGTATGTATGTATGTATGTATGTATGTATGTATGTATGTATGTATGTGTGTGTGTGTGTGTGTGTGTGTCCTTGTTTATGCTACTTTGTGAGGCCCATTTTTCCAACTTATACTGCATTGTGGGGACCAACTGCTCCTTATGGGGCCCAAAGCCCGGGCCCCATAAGAAGAAGTCTCGTTGGTGGGTTAGGGGCTAGGTTTAGGACTAAGGTGTGAATTGAGGATGTGTTAGGTTTAGGGTTAGGTATGTACTGGTAATGGTTAGGTTATGGATAAAGGTCATGGTTAGGCTATAGAAATGAATGAAAAATGAATGCAAGTCAATGCAAAGGCCCCATAAAGATAGCAAAACAAACCTGTGTGTGTGTGTGTGTGTGTCCTTGTTTATGCTACTTTGTGAGGCCCATTTTTCCAACTTATACTACATTGTGGGGACCAACTGCTCCTTATGGGGCCCAAAGCCCGGGCCCCATAAGAAGAAGTCCCGTTGGTGGGTTAGGGGCTAGGTTTAGGACTAAGGTGTGAATTGAGGATGTGTTAGGTTTAGGGTTAGGTATGTACTGGTAATGGTTAGGTTATGGATAAAGGTCATGGTTAGGCTATAGAAATGAATGAAAAATGAATGGAAGTCAATGCAAAGGCCCCACAAAGATAGCAAAACAAACCTGTGTGTGTGTGTGTGTGTGCGTGTGTGTGTGTGTAAAAAGACATTTGAAAACTAAACATTTCAACAAGTTTTTTTTGTTAGATTTTTCTGCCTGGATTACTGAACATGAGTCCAGATAGTTGTAGCTGTATATAAAGAAAAAAGCTATAAGACCATCTCCAAGCAGCTGAATGTTCATGTGGCTACAGCAGCACAGATTATTCAGGTCTGGAGACAACCTCCCTGAACTTCACCACTTGCTCTCGCCGAGATCGGATGCTTCCCTCCCTCCCTCTCCGCTTTGCTTTGCTGCTCTGTCTGTCTGTGAATCTGCTTGTGAGAATCTCTTGCATTTCTTCTGAACCATAATTATGGACTTGTTTTGACTAGTTGGTCCCTCAACTCAATTTACAACATTTCTTTGAAGAGAAGACAGGCTTTAGGCGAGCCGATTTGCCCTGTTGGCATGCACGCAGCTGGATATCTCATCGACTGGAAGACTTGATGATGTGTCTATCTCTGCTGCCATATGTGGATTTTAAGGACGCATATTTAATTGGATTTACGATAACTGGTTCCTGCTATTTTGGAATCGTCTGGTTGCTGGTTTTATTTACAATCAAGGAAGTTGTCGGCAGCAAATTTGGACCCGATCACGCTGCTTGCCTTTATGATGGCTTGGTTCGTGTCTCGAGTACCTGGACTCAAATGCTTTGGGCTGAATGGATCAGATCTTGGGGATTTTACTCAGTCACGTTCCATTGGTGTGGCCATGTAATTTGGACATTTTGGAACCGAGTCGACCAACACAGACTCAAGGTAGATGTCATTAAGTTTTGCCTGTCCCCAAAACAATTGTGTGTTTATCTGAATTTGGCTCCCTTGGCTGGCCCTGAAGCCATCTTATCTGAATTCACCTGGAGAAAATGTGATCCAACGCTCACCACCCACTCCCTGAAGAATTTCCAACTGATAACCAGATGGAACCAGCTGAATAAACTTTGTGTCATCATTTCAGGACTCTTGGATTATCATAGATGTTATCCTTGGCCATTCCTCGACATACCTCGAGAATGTCGAGAAAGAAATACCAAAAGTAGACAATAAGGTGAACCATTCAGTTATAGGTTGTGACAACAGTATTTTTCTTAATGGAACTGACAAAGAAGAAATAATGAATGTTGTAAAAAAATCTTACAGATAAGAGATCAAAAGACTGGGTGGACATGGATATGATGTTTGTAAAGGACATAATGAGTTATGTTATCGAGCCGTTTACATATATTTGTAATTTATCATTTTCAAAACGAATATTTCCAGACAATATGAAAGTAGCTAAGGTAGTTCCTCTCTTTAAAAATGGTGATAAATGTGTGTTCAATAATTAACCAATATCCTTATTACCACAGTTCTCAAAAATTTTAGAAAAACTATTTGTGACCAGATTAGATAAATTTATTACTAAACAAAACATTCTAAGTAGCAGTCAGTATGGGTTTAGAGAAAAAAAACTCTACATCAATGGCTCTCATGGAATTAATAGAACAAATAACTACTGCTGTCGATCAAACACAGTATTGTGTTAGTATTTTTGTTGATTTAAAAAAAGCATTCGATACTATTGATCACACTATTCTCCTTGAAAAATTAAATAAATATGGTATAAGAGAACTAGCATTACACTGGGTATCTAGCTATTTGAAAGATAGGAAACAGTTTGTACAAATAAATGGCGTAAAATCTGACCTCTGCAATATCACTTGTGGAGTTCCTCAAGGCTCTGTACTTGGACCAAAGTTATTTATTTTATATGTGAATGACTTAGTGAATGTATCAGGACTCCTCAAATGTGTCCTTTTTGCAGATGACAACACATTCTTTTGTTTGGGTAAAGATGTAAAACGGATGTTGCAATTGATGAAGACAGAATTTGATAAAATACAAACTTGGTTTAAACTTAATAAATTATCATGAAATTTAGATAAAACTAAATACATGATATTTAGTAACAAAAAGAAAACTGTTGATGATCCATTTAAAATTGAGGGTGTTGAGATTTGTAGAGTTAATGAGATTAAATTTTTGGGTGTAATCACTGATGAACAGCTAACATGGAAAAATCACATAAACTCTGTAAGAATAAAAATAGCTAAATCTATTGCAGTACTATGTAGTATGTCATATAGGATATATATTCATACTTTTCACGAGTTCCTCATCTTTCTGACTGTGTAAATGTCGTGCATTGAATTTTAACAGAAATGTAACGAGAGACGTTATTTATCTTTGACCCATCAAAATGAATGCGGTCATTTATTTTCAGAATCAAAGTTTAACATCAAACATTTACATTAATTTGGCAAAATATGAAAATAATAACAGACAAGTTTCACAAGTAATGGACTTCAATCACACGGCGGTGATCGAGGACTTTGCTTCAGATATTTCTAAAATATCTGTACTGATTTTAAGAGAAAGCAGAGTTTAAGATGGAAATGGAGATTTATCTTACAGAGAGATTTGTGAGGGAATTAATCTGTTTGACCAGAAACATGCACGCTCCTTAAGATCTCAGCTTGCGACGGTACGCTTGGTCGAAGTAGATCGTTACCTGGTTGACGATAAATCAGCTCGGTATAGAATCCTTCAGACTCTTTCAGCGTCTCCGTTGAGAGCAGCTGAAATCCTTCGAGAGTCGTACGAGGTTGTTCAAACAGAAGTTATAATCCCAAAACGTCTCTGGATCATCCTGAACGCGTTTGCATCCAAGAACTCTGAACTCCTTTCATCTTCAGCACTCTGTGTGGAACTCTCAGAGCTCTGCAGCATCAGACTCTTTTTAGCTCCATTAATCTTCAGCGTCTGGCTTCAGACTTCAGACTACTGTGCACTCTCTAGTTGAACTCATTCCTGAGCGCAGCAACTGCAGCAACCAACTCCAGCAACTCCAACATGAACTGGGAAGTTGCCACATTTTAAATGGGTCGACTTCCGGGTCATTTGAGAGCTTTTTGATTGGTCGATGGACCAGAAATAGAGGTGTGGTTTGTGATGTAAGATGTTATCAAATTCGAGGTCAGAGAATGAGATTGTTCAACAACAGACAGAAAGATTATTGCAGAAACCCAGACTTCGTGGAGTCTCACTCTGCTGTATCTTCTCAAATAGTTAAACATGACATTTTTTCTCAGTAAACATTTTAGTTGACCGAGAACCGACCTTTAACATACTTACAAAACTCGCTCATTGCAGACAGAAAAATCAAGAAATGCATATTAACCTGATTTCTTCTTTGAATGAGGAATAAAAATCATTACTTACTGTTTATGTAAAATAAAAATGAGTAGTTCTTCTTCAACCTGTAAGCATTGAGTGAGCTAACACAATTTGATTATCAAACATTTGTAAAATAGTAATGATCATAGAGAATTGTCTTTTCTGCTTGATTAATTCAAGAAAGAAAGTCACCAGATGGCTCAAACTGTATTTCTGGATGCAGATCAATGAAATAACAGTCTCTTGTTCATCTGATGAGATTTGAGGTCAGATTAGGTTCACTACAACTATACAAAATCAGGGAATTATTAAATGGTAAAGCTCTGTACATGTTGTATAACACAATCATTGTTCCACATTTAATCTATTGCATTGATGTTTGGGGGAAAGCATGTAAAACATTTACAAAACCTATTTTTATTTTACAGAAAAGAGCTGTAAGAATTATCACCAGAAAGCATTACAGTCACCCATCAAGCACATTATTTTATCAACTGAAGTTATTGAAGTTCCATGATTTGGTAGATTATAGTATTTTATCAGTTATGTATATGGCTCAAAATAACACATTACCATTAAATATCCAAAGAAATTTTGTTAAAAGCCAAAGTTGTTGTAATCTTAAAGGGACAGAGATATTTGTCAAACCAAAATTCAGAACTAGTCTGAAGGGAAGGTCTAAAATGCCAAGTTAATGTGTACATTTAAGAAAAAGATCAAAGCTGAATTATTAAAAAAGTATATATGAAGTAGATTAGTGTGTGTTTTGTATTAGAATTAGAAAAATTAGAAAGTCCAAAAAAGTTCAATCTGGTCCTCTGGACATTCAAAAAAACA